CTCACCAAGATCTAGTTTTCATCATAAATGATATTTCGAATATTAATGAGAATCTCTCTATTTGGTTTTGTTGGGTTCCTCGTAAAGCTAATGTGGTAGCACACAATTTAACAAAATTGGGATTTTTGAGCTTTCATTCTGGATGGACTCAGAGTTTACAATTTGTTTTTTCTTCTATTTTTCACTTATGACTTGTCTTAGTTTCTTTTTTTTTTTGTAGTTTTCTGGGTAGTTTTTTTTTTCTTTTTTGTTTTTTTAGTTCTAGGAGTTTCTTTGTCTATTGGGTTGTTGTTTAATGAAGATCGCTTTTTAACAAAAAAAGGCTAAAAGTAGAGGAACACAAACAAACTATGGTATTTGTGGAGTTGATGGGAATGTGGATAAATTAGAATTGAAAGGGAAGATCAATGTTGTGTTTGGTACTAATGTTGTTTATATCTTCAACATTTTGAGTTGATCAATACAAATTTGTAAGAGACATGTATTGTTACATCGCATATCCCACATGCATTTTTAAGATATGCTTTTGTCCACTATAAACAACCTAGGATTATATGCCATATTAATCAACCCAAAACATTTATGGTAGAAACAACAATGATACCAAACACAACCTAAATAGATTGTGGTATGTTCATAAAGAAATAATGAAACGAAAGACAACCTAAATAGATAGTGGCAATGTGGCATGTTCATAATGGTGGAGGTCTTACTAGATAAGGTTATCAACAATGTTGATTGTCATGATGTCAAATTTTGGTTCTAGATTAAGGGCATAGAACTGAGTAAAAATAGAACCCCGGTGACTCATTCCTTCTTTGTTGATGATTTCCTTCTATAAAAGAAGTGAAACTTCTGCTGCATAGTTTCAAGAGGCCTCATGATAACTAGAAAATTAATATCAATGAACCAAGTCTCTTAATGAGTAAAAGCGTCCATGAATTCAAACGAAATTCATTCATACATCATGGAATGAAGCTGTGGATGGGAAGAAAAACGATTGCTGATTTTCGATATTTGAAAGGGAAGTTGCAAGCTAGCCTCTTGGAAATCTAAATTACTGTCACAGGCAGGAAGGAAGAACAACTTTAGTTATGACAGATGCAAGCGTTCCAATTTTTTTTTTTTGAAAATAAACATAAATGTACAACACACAACAAGGGTAGTATGTCCCCAAAAAGTCAGCAGAACAAATAAGAAGAAGAGAAAAGGTAAGAGAAAAGATGCTAAAATCTAGAGAAGAAGAAGAAGAAAGAGCTTCCTGATGTTTGCGCATGTTACACATTATTTTTATTGCTTTATACATGGTTTTGATGATGATTCTTAATGGTTTTTACCCTAATTGAGCTGAATTTCAGGAAATTGGGAATTTGGGACAATTTAGAATTAAGAGAACATAATATATGGTGATATGGCGGAAATGGGAGGACTTCGGCCCACCAAGGAGAGAGGCCCAACCGCAGCCCTATGGGAGGCTCCAAAAGGCGGCTGACTTTAGCAGAGTTTGAAGGGGAGTGGGACTCTCAATCAAAAGCTGCAAAGAAGAGTATAAAAGAAAAAGAAAGAGAGGAAATTAGGGTTCGACCCCTTGACACAAGAACGGAGAGGAAAGTGCTAGGAGAAGGATCACAAGGTTGCTGAAGGAGAATTGAAGAAGAGATCGAAGATTGATGCAAAAATTTTAAGTGTCTTCTTCTTTGATTCTGCGAATTCGGTAACCTAGATTCAATTAGGGTTTTTCTTTGTTGAATATTTCTTTCTTTCTATTATGCGAACCATGATGGATGCTAATTCAGATTTGTAATTAATCTTTTAAGTTGATCCGATTAATAGTGATTCAGTCTTGGGATTTCTTGATTAGGGTTTTCGATTATAAGAGTAATTTTGGCTGAACTTCTCTTGTTTCTTGGATTACTTAAATTGCTTGAGAAAGGGTTTAGGTAATTAGATCAACTGATCAAGGAAACAGATTGAATGTATCTTAGAGATAATGTGCATGATTCATTTGGCATTCATTCATCAAGAATTGATTTCCTTCGATTTCCTTGTCTTTAATGCATCAATAGCAATTAAATTCTTGATAGAAATATAAGAATTGTTGCTCATAGATAGATGGGTATGTGCTCGAAAGAGACTACTCATGCAATTAGGAAATAGCCAACCCATGGCTGAATTCAACGTCGGTTGGATAGCTTAATGATATAATTGTTGAATCGGTTATACTAGTATTTTCATGAAGCACTTTCTCTAATTCTTTAAGGTGGGTTGATTCGAGAATACCTAGGATAGTTTGCTAATTAGGAGATAAGTTTTTAATTTCCAGATTGTCAGATAACATAAGACAAGTTTAGTACTATTAGTTGTTGGATTAATCCTCGTGGAAACGATACTCTACTCATCAATATATTACTTGATCGACTAGTGCACTTGCTAGTGTAAATCAAACGCATCACCTCCTAAGCCAGCCACTCAGTTGC